TAAAGAAAGCTGAGCACTGAAGAATTGATGCTTTTGAACTGTGGTGTTGGAGAAGACTCTTGAGAGTCCCTTGGACTGCAAGGAGATCTAACCAGTCAATCCTAATGGAAATAAGTCCTGAATATTTATTGGAAGGACTGACGATGAAGCTGAAACTCCTATACTTCCTTTGGTCACCTAATGTGAAGAGCTGACTCATTTGAAAAGACCTTGATGCTGGGAAAGATTGAAGGCAGGAGGAGAAGGGGACAACAGAGGATGAGATGGTTGGATGGCATCACCGACTTGATCGACATGGGTTTGGGTGGACTCCGGGAGTTGGTGATGGACAGGGAGGCCTGGCGTGCTGTGGCTCATGGGGTCGCAAAGAATTGGACATGACTGAGTAACTGAACTGAACTGAAGAAGTCACACAAAAGGTCATATACTATAAGATTCTATTTACATGAACAATCCAGAACAGGTAAATTAAAAAAGATAAAAAGAGAATAGTGGTTGCTGGAATAGGCTGGAGAGGGTGTAGAGTGAGTGCTAATGGTATGAAGTTTTCTTTGGGAGTGATGAAAATATTTTGGAATTAATAAAGGTGGAAGTTGTGCAATATTATGAAGGTACTGACAAACCACTGCACTGTTACTTTAAAATTCTTAATTTTGTTATGTGAATTCCACCTCAGTTTTAATAAATGGATTAAAAAAAAATAATGAACTCAAACTGTCTCCTACAGCTGCAGGTAAAATCAGAGACAAGCCAAGAATATGAACTACAGATGCTGCAAGCCTTCAACTGGAAAGTTCAACAGAACATTCTTCAGGCCCCACTGCTGCAGCTAGCTATGAGGTCATAACTGACATTTATTCCACCCCACTCCATGCATCACTGATTCTAAGTTACACTCAGAGGTGATAGAAGCTCTCCGTTAGCTATAACCTCGTCTCCTGCTTTCAAAGCACCACAACTTTAACAGGCACTCTCAGAAGATTTGGTTCATTCTCAGATCAGCGTGTTTCTTCCCCCACATGCTACTCATGACAATACCTTTACTTTTTGACAATGGTTAAAGAAAAGTGGTGCCTATCCAATTAGGTGGTGCTGTGGTAAAGAATCCACCCATCAATTGTAGGAGATGCAGGGATCTTTAATCCTTGAGTCAGGAGGATCCCCCGGAGAAGGAAATGGCAACACACTCCAGGATTCTTGCCTGGAAAATCCCATGGACAGAGGGGCCTGGAGGGTTACAGTCCATGGGGTCACAAAGAATCGGATGAACAACTGAGCACACCCACACAACGAAAAGGGGTGGCCCAAAAAGAAGGAAGAGAAAGACAGAAGAGAGATGAATGGCAGGGAGAAAGAGACTCAGACAGAGGGGAATGCAAAGAAAAAGAGAGAAAGATAGGCAGTATAAAAGAAAGGTGCTCAGAGAAGGAAAAACAAACAAACAAAGCAGTGTGAGAGAAATAAGCAGACCAAAATAGATACGTCAGGAGAAGAGTAAGATTAGAAAGAGGCAAGAGAACTGGGATCCTCGTGATCTCCAAACTCCCCCTGGAAAACAGAAGAGCCTGAAATCAAATATGCCTTTCTGCCTAGGGGGTCTAGAAGCCCCTGACAAGTTTTGTTCTTCTCTCTGGTTGACCAGAAAGCCAGAGAGCCTCAGTGAGATGAGAAGAGGGAGCTGCTCATCAAAGAGCTCCTCCCCGCAAGGGTTGACGTGGGAGTCAGCTAGTCCCACTGACGGCCTCCGGGGCTTGTCGTTCCCCAGAAGAGGGAGTGTGGCTGGCTTGGCCCCAGTGATGTGTGGTTTCCTGGAGTGTCAAGCTAGGCCGGGGCAGCCAAAGTTCAGAAGCGGAAGCTGCGGAGCAGGAGTTCCTGGTTTCGGTGCTGCCAGCCAGGCGAGTCCCTCCTGAAATGGGGTTCCTCGGAGCTTTGCCCATCCTGATACTATTCATTCTCTTGGGGGGTGTCCAGGAACCTGGGCTGGTGGAGGCATTCTTTCTAAGTAAGTATGAAAGTAAATATCAAAGCAAGAATTGAAGACTCAGTCTTTCTAGAGGAGAAATGGAGCTTGGCTAGGAGGAAGGAACAAGAATTTTGCTGAGGAGAAATGTGTTCCCCCACCTCTGTCTGGGATCCTGGGGGAGAAAGAAGAACTGTATCGGGAGACCTCCTTTTAGCCCCTTTAAGATGTCCTTGGTGAATGCAGGAACCTGACCCTGTGGCAACTGACTTCCCACCATCATTATGAGAGGGCTTTTTCCTAAGGGTTTGGATGAAACAGACTAAGGGAACTTGGGAAAATTCACCATAAGAAAGGCCACTCCCCACCCCCCAGCACCACCTTCAACTTCTAAGTCTTCTCACTGTAGCCTTCCAAAGTCTCCCCACCCCCACCTCCGCGCCTACAGGGGATCTTTGCCTTTGGGGTAAAGAAAGGTCTTTGAAAGTTCCCTGGAATGCTGACATATGAAGACCTCTGCCATTAGCAGCAGAGAGAAGCAGCCCCTAGACAGCAGTGGAGCCACACATGGCTGGGCCAAATCACGTTCCACTCCCTGGTAGCCGTGTGAACTTGGCAAGTTTTCAGCACCTCCTTTTTACAAAATGTGAATGTTGACAAAGCTTACCCAGAAGAGCTGTAAGGAGGACTGAAGAGAAAAGAACAGGGACACGGGAAACACTTAATCGTTACTGGTTATAATGATGAGCAGGAGGAGGATGGGGATGTTGGATGGGGATGCTGAAGATGTCCCGGGCAGCTTGACAATGGCTTTACAAGGTTTGTCACATGAATCCTCGAAACAGCCCTCTCAGCAAATGAAGAAAATCAAGGTTCAGGGACAGTTCCTGCCACACCGAGGGATGCACAGAATTCAAAAGCCCTGCTTCCAGAAAGGGAGTTCCCAACCACTGAGAGCTGCAACCCTACCCTGCCTCCAGCCAGGGAACATCCAAATACGGGAAGGCCAAGTGACCAGAATAGTCCTGGAACGAGCATCTCTGTCCCTGGAACCTTATAGATGATGGGTTTAGAGATCAGATGTTAAGCGGTTATGTGGTTGGGAGTGGGGGTATCTTTGGGAAAATTCTGAGCTCCCTGAAGGTGAGAGGTGAAGTGAAAAGAGCTTCCCCTCTTTGGTGATGGTGTCCTAGCCCTGGGAAGGGAGGGGCCCAGCCCCTTCAAGGTTCCAGACGAGTATATCCTTTTGTCCCTCAGGGCAGTGTCCCCGAAACAGGGTAAGATGTGAAATACAAGAAAGAGACCTATGTATGAACAGCAGAGATTGCCCAAAGAAGATGAAATGTTGCATGTTTAGCTGTGGAAAGAAATGTTTAGATATCAGCAAAGGTAACTCACCAGTCCCCTGGGCTATCTGACACCCCCACCCCTACCCTCACTTTCTGCTGTGGCATTGTCGTACTCCTCCCCTGGTTTGTTGATGGCTGGTCTCTGACCAAGAGACTGGATGCATCTTCAACTTGGCACAGATCCTGTTGATGCTGGGCTGGGGAGGGTGTTGACAGATGTGGGCTTTATCTCATTTCTGCCTCTACTTAGGTGTGTGATGTGAGTAATATAATTTTTCCTCTAAGGGTCTTAGTTTTCCTGTTTCTAAGAAAGGAGTATTTTGTGATCCTCTGAGATGCTAAGTAGCTACTGAAGTCTCATCAAATGCCAGCATGGTGGCAGGTGACATGATAGCTATAAAAAACAGGTATATGATCTGTATTTCCTAGCTTCTTTTCTGGCCTCTCTGTCTGTAGAAATTCTGGATGCCTCTCCTAGATGTCTTTGATCTCCTACACTCTTTTCCCTCTGCTCATATCGTTGAGCTCTAAAGAAGACCTTGTTCATCAAGGGTTATTCATTCATTAACAAACATTTACTAGTGGCCCTGACACCCATGATGGGCTCCACTTGCTCAGTGTAGCTAGAGGGGACAGGAAAGGGATCTGAAAGATGGGTAGAAGGTAGGAAAAATGGAAGGGAAGACATTTCTGGCACAGGGAACAGCATGTGCATAGGCCCTGTGTGAGAAGACACCATCAGCAAGCTAGGAAGCCCAGAGAACAGAGGAGAGCATGAGTATGGTGAGAGAGGAGAACAATAAAGCTAGAGTAGGTAAAGAAAGCTCTGACAAGGCAGGGCCTTGCCAGTCAGGGTAAAGTATCTGGTCTCAATGTTAAAAGCAACAGACTATCTACATTCAAATCCCTTACCATCTATACTGTGACCTTAGGGAAGTGATTTAGCCTCTCTGAGTCTCAGTTTGTTCATTTGAAAAATGAAGATGATAAGAGGATCTACCTCATAAGACTATGTGTTAATATATGTCAAGTACTGAGAACAGTGTCTGACCCTTTAATAACTGTGTGCTCAGCGTGCTTCAGACTATGAGGTTCTAAAGAACTCTATTTGTACCTCCTAGGACTGTGCACAAAACAGTTGCTCAATAAATGCTTCCATTCAGGATTTTTTACTGTAAACATTCCTGAAGCATCCAAACAGGATGAGTTCTGTGCCATGCGCTAAAATTTTCATGCCTTTCCATTCCGCTGCCCTCCCACCCCATGCCATTGCACATGCTTGGAATGTTCCTTAGGGAGGCAGACATCCAAACAGCTCTGCCCCTCAATCTCCCTGCAGATGTGTGCACTTTGCCAAAGGTTCCTGGCCCCTGCAACGCCTTCTTTGTGCGCTGGTGGTATGATGAGCAAAAAGAAATCTGCTCCTCATTTATCTATGGAGGTTGCCAAGGGAATAATAACAACTTCCAATCTGAAGGTGTCTGCCGTGCTATCTGCCCCCGGAGAAGTAAGTCCCAGTCTCCATGCTAACCTGGGCCACCCTGGGAGGCCTGGTGTTGACTGGTCCATTTTAGAAGCCTGGCAGTCTTGGGGCTTACGACTGAGAGGTAAGAATGCAGCTCACAGAAGGGTAAGTAGAGGATGTTTTGGGAAAGAGAGGGTGGGAAAGGTAGCAGTGGTCAAAGGGATGTGGGTGAATATGAAATAAATGGTGGATACAGACAGAGTAAGCAGATGTGGTGGAGTAGCTGAGATCAAGTCAGAAGATGGCCCAGTGAACCGGCCCAGAGCTGAGCACCATGCACCAGCCTTAACGTCTATCAAACCTGGCCACTGATTCTTTTTCTTTTCTTAAGGTGATTATAGCCAGGACAACCACATGCTTTATTGACCAAACCAAGATACTTTTAAGAGTGAAAGGAGATGCCATTAATTATTACACTGGGAACAACAGGCATAAACTGGGACTATTGGAAAAACCAGAACACATGATCACTCTATGAGCCCCTGAAGACACTCCACTTCTGTTTTTTCTCCCTGTGAAATGATATAAAAATGACACCATCTCCTTTCTTCCATTAATTGCAAGCTATGGTCCTGAAGGTGAGAAGGGCCCCAGCATCTCACCAGGACATTGTTTTTCATCCTGTTGTCTTGCAGGGTCAGTCAGCTGGCTGGGATAAAGAAAGCTGGAACAGCCTCCAGGATTTGGCTCTTATTCCAGGGATCTCTCCAGGTGTGCCTGACAGAGGTTCCATGTTGGCTTCCACAGGTCGAATCTCAGTTGCGAAGACCTTGGAGGTTCCCTTGAGGAGCCCATGATTTGCTGACGTCCTTTCCTCCAGCTCATCTACTCTTCAAACATAATGCCCTTCGCCCTTTGAACCCTTCTCAGCATGTGACTCTATTTCTTCAACTTTCAGGGCCCCCATTTACCTTTTGGAAACCTCCAGTTGCCCCCAATAAAGCGCTCTGTGAGGTCTGAGTTGTCTGTGGCTAAATAATTCACATCTGTTCCCTCTGCAGAGAACATGTCATTTGATCTCCCAGTGACACCAACAGAGGCACAGAAGAGTATGAAAATCCTGTAGACAGCTGGTGATATTTTTGTCCTGGTGCAATTGCCATAAATTTGCTTAAGAATGGAAACAGAGCAGGTCCAGGTTTTGTCTGGACTAAAGCTTAGAAGTTCCTTTAAAAAGGAATGCACATTAAATTTAAAAGTGAATATTATTTCAAGTGAGAAAGGAAATTGCACCAATTGCAAAGTTTAAAAAGCTAGCTAGTACTACTAATTGCACAAAATCCATTTAGATGAATTATCAATTTTTTAAAATGTAGGACATTATTTCTGTAAAAGTCAATGTCTATGGAAAGATAATTCAGTCTTTGATTTACTCTGGCTGATCAAAAGATGACTATTTTTCTATTTTGATTATGGTGGGGATGCATAAATAACACAGCCATATGTGATAGTTGTAGTTCTCCTGCAGGTTTGTGCCCTAAAGACACAGGAATTTTAATAAATTCTCTTTGTACAATTCCATCAAAAAAGAAGAAAATGCATGGTGCATCTAAAATGGTGCATATTGAATTATCAAGTATATTCTTGCTAGTAAAGAGCATCTATTCTTGGGATGGGATATGGGAGGGAGGTTCAAGAGAGAAGGAACATATGTATACCTGTGACCAATTCATGTTGATACATGGCAGAAACTGAAGAGGAAAAGTTAAAATTTAACATAACCTCTTTCTCCTTCTGCCTCTGTAACTCAGCTTGCCCCTTGCAAATTGTAGATCATGTAGGTCACATAGTTTCGGGAAGCGGGGACTTGCAATACTAGGAACTGGAGTTTATCTCACTCACACTTATCCTGCTGTTTGCAATTGCCCAGCCCCTGCAAACCTGCTTAATCATGCCTGTCTAGGTCAGGCACCCCCTCCTCATCTTGACTGCTGTTCCTGTGTACGTGAAATCCCTTAGTTTAAACCAGCCTATTAACAGCTAGTGTTGCCCACTACAACCTGTCTATAAAAATCTGTAATCCCTTTGTTCAGGGCTCAGAGCTTGGAGTGTTAACTCTTCTGGGCCCACCAGCATAATAAACCTGAGTTCTCCAACTCTCCAAGTGTGGTGCTTGGTTTTTCGAATACTGGTTTCTGCAACAAATTAACTCAATATTGTAAAGTAATTATCCTCCAATTAAAAAAAAAAAGCACCTGCTCTGAACAGGCTTCCTTAAGAACTAATTTTTTCCTCTTTATAGATTTATTTTTCTAATAGTTGGAAGAATTTTTTGCAGAATGGTTTTTCTGGCTCCATACATTTTACATCTTGTTTTTCCTCCACTATCCCATCCTTCTAGGTACATTAGGTATATTTTATTACAACACAAACTCTAGCCCCATTCCTTAGTGTCATGTGGGTGATAGGAATGTTGCTTAGCACCATTCTTGCACCAAGACAGAAGACAGCAACTTATGATACATAGAAATGTCATGGGAGTGTGTAATTTCCCCAATTCTGTCTCATCACAACAAAAATTTGAAGGGACGGACATTAAAGCTCTCGGACAGACCATGTCACAGCACCATGTTACAGCTCAGTTTTATTTAGAAAAGAAATAAAAGGAAAATACATCCTTGAGGCGTGAAGGCATGCTGACCCAAAAGACGTGAAGAGAAGAAAGCGAGACAGGGGCGAGAGAGAGAGCGAGCGAGCGAGTGAGGAGCCTGGCCCTTTGGCTCCTCTTTATCTGTTTTTTTCTGCCCCCCTGGGCCTGCCTTGTGTAAACTGGGTTAGCAGGAGTGCTATTTGTTCCACCTGAGGTCCTCACTCCAGTCCTCGGACATTCCTTTGTTCTATTTTCATGGACTTTCCCCTTCCTTGTCTTTTAGCCACCGCCATTCTGGACTCCTTTTTCCTATTCTAACTACCTAACAGAAATAACTGATAGACAATACATAGATGTATCATACATACATGAATGACTACTTAAATGTAGGGGCTTCCCAGGGGGCTCTAGTGGTAAAGAACCATTCTGCCAATGCAAGAGACAAAAGAGATGGAGATTCAATCCCTGGGTTGGGAAGATCCCCTGGAGGAGGGCATGGCAACCCACTCCAGGATTCATGTCTGGAGAATCTCATGGACAGAGGAGCCTGGAGGGCTGCAGCCCAGAGTGTTGCAAAGAGTCAGACATGATTGAAGCTACGTAGCATGCACACATGTAAATATATCCCACTAATTCCAAACTCAGTTGCTTCCCCAACTCAACTTCCTTTTAGCTGGATGCCATAAGTGCTGGCAGCCATTTAAATATCACTGGACACAGGAGGAGAGGGAAAGATGGAGTGGAAAGAGAAAGCAGGCTGATCGGTTAGAAGATCTTGCTTTCAGAGATGATACAGAGCATACTAATACTACCTGGGCCACTCTCAGAGTCTTATAAGGGGTCTGTTCAAGTGAGGGGTCCTAAGGCTTGAGGCTTAATAGAGGGTAGCTCCATCTTAGAAAGGGCTCATGCATCTGCCACGGAGAGGGAGGGGACCAACTACACTGAGATGATCATGCTAAAGAGGCCCCTGTAGGTGCTCTGGTCCACAGCTCCAGAAAAGCTCTGCCTAAGGAGCAGCAGCAGTCTCCAGCCACATGAATGAGCTCCCAACACATCAGAGCCTCCAGCAAACTTCAACCCTATGAAGACCCCAAGAGAGGACCACCCAGCTGATTCCTTCCCATTTCCTCCCCCACAAAAAATAAAATGCTTGTTTTAAACTATCAAGTTTGGGGAATTAAAAAAATGATTTATTTGGCTGCACTGGGTCTTAGTTGCATCATGCAAGATATTGGTTGTGGCCCCTGGACTCTCTAGTTGTGGCTGGAGCACTCTGGAGCCCGTGAGCTTCAGCCACTGCAGTGCGTGGGCTTAGCTGCTTCGTGGCTTGTGGGGTCTTAGCTCCCTGACCAGGGATGGAGTATGCGTCCCCTGCATTGCAAGGCAGAATCTTAACTATTGGACCACCAGGGAAGTCCCTGGGGAAATTTTATTTACAGGAATTGGTAGATAATTGGAACAGATGAGATAAGGAAGTGAATAGAATGGAAGCAGGAAGCGGGGACGGGAGAGGAAGAGGAAAGACATGGAGAAGACTGGGTGAAGGAAAAAAGGGGTCCCCAAAAGACAGGCAAGATAAGAGGGCACAGGGCTTGAGAAGGGAGCCCCACAGCACACATCTTGGATGTCACTCTTGAATAAACTCCTTGTTTGCTTTGACTTGTACCAAGAGTTTCTAAAGAGAGTCTGGGGTACACTTACTGGTCAAGTAAGACCCATCTTCTTCCCAACTCTCAGTTTCTCCCTCTTTAAAAAGGGCTGCTTAAATTTATGACTATTTCTGAAAATGATGTTAGCGAACACCTACATTAGGGTCACTTAGGGTCGCTTATGGGGCTTCCCTGGTAGCTCACTGTTAAAGAATTTGTTTGCCAATGCAGGAGCCACAGGACATGCAGTTTTGATTGCTGGGTCTGGAAGATCTGGAGGAGGGTATGGCAACACACTCCAGTATTCTGGCCTGGAGACTCCCCATGGACAGAAGAGCCTGGCTGGTCACATAGGGTAGGGAGGAGCTTGTCTAAAGTGTGGGTCCTCCAGAAATTGTCCTCTAAGAAATTGTCATCTCAAGAAGGAGAGTCCAGAAATCTTCAAGATCTAAGTGATTTTATCAGAACCTGTTGATGGAATGATACTTAAGGGGCAATCCATCAGTGAGAAAAAAAAAAAAAAAAGAGACTTAACACATTTATTGGTGCCTGCTCCAGGTACAGAAGGACATTAGGAGAAATTACTAGAATCTTTGAAACCTGGGGAGGATCAGGCAGGGTTGGGCCGCAGATCTCCAAAACACTGCTAATTTGGCAGTTTTGCAGAGTGACCATCTGGCCAAGTGGTCCTCGTGTGTGGTATCTCCCACATTTACATTGCTCTTGCCTTCACATGTCTGTTCTCCCGGGAAGCCTGTTCCAGCCCTGTACATCTTTGTGATGCAGGGCAAATTACCAAAAATTCATCATTGGTCTACATCCTCTGGGATGTACAGAGCACTTCTCTGGGAATAAAGACGTTGAAATATGTGTCTAAACTTTGCCCCTCATTGAATGTATGACCCAGTTGGGACTGGATAGGGTGGAGAGGTACTCCTCTCAGGAGCTCAGTTTCCCATCTGTTAGATGAAAGTGGTGGACTAATATTCAAAGAGTATTTCTAAAGTTGAGAAAATATGAAAGCTCAGGAACCCTGCCAAATCTGATAAGCAACTGATGCTTGTCCATCCCATTGGTACCTCTCAGTTCTTGATTGAAGTTTACATGCATGAGGGATTGGAACAGACTCGTTCTGCCCTCATGGACCACAGAGGTCCTTGTAAATGGCCAAGTGTGCTTTATGGATGACAGTGTCTGCACTCTGCGCTCAGACACTCCTGAGCGGAGCCCTCAGCGTTGAGCATAGGTCCTTTTATGGAAGATGCTGTGTCTCCTTGTTGTCAACTCTGCTCATTTCTCTGCCCCTGAGAACCCTACTCAAGAGGATACCTTGAGTAGGATTTTGAAGTGTTACTCGTGCTGGCAGGCAGACCCAGGACCCCTTATCTCCCTTCTCCTTCTCTTTTCAAAACTGCCTTCAGAGCCAGAAATGCCCAGAGGAAGCTGTGGATGGCTTGGGACCTCTGGGAATGAGCAGGTAAAGGAGACTAGAGAGTTCTCACAGCCCAATAACTTTCCCCTCTTTTTTTTTTTAAACACATGTACAAATAGAAGCTTCTAGCAGGAAACAGACTTGTCCAAAGTTATACAGCAAATCAATAACATATCTGGATCTAAAATCTAAGTTTGAAGGGTAGCAAGGTGTTGCTCGGGGACTCAGACGGTAGAGTCTGCCTGCAATGCAGGAGATTCAGGTTCGATTCCTGGGTCGGGAAGGTCCTCTAGAGAAGGAAATGGCTATCCACTCCAGTATTCTTGCCTGGAGAATTCCATTGACAGAGGAGCCTGGCAAGCCATAGTCCATGGGGACACGAAGAGCTGGGTACAACTGAGCAACTAACACAAGGTGTTGCCAGATCCCACAGCCTAATGGGAAATCAGGGTGGATATAATGCTATTTGTCATTTTTTTAAAATATTCAGCATCTTAATCTCATTCCTACAGATGAAACTTACAGATGAAGAATTCCCTATCCAGGGGAGTCTTGGAATGAGGTAAAACCAGCATTCCAATGTAAAACCTGAGAGGGTCAGACGCTTTATAAGTCAGGGTTCATTAAAGGACACTGAAACCACCATATTTTGTATTTCAAACAGAGAGAATTAAAAAATATGAATTGGTTACATGAGTATTGGGAAGATGAATGGCCAAAAGGAGGAAGGGCTGAGGCATCCATCACTCCTAGATTTGGGAGAATAAAAGATTTGGAATTATCAGACCTAGGAGTTCATAGAAGGGGCCCAGACACAACTGGGGCTCATACTTCTGGAAGGACAGAGCTGGGGCTGCGTGGTGGGCACTCAATCTTCTAAAATGCCCTGCGGCTTGTATTCGGCCCTCTGAAATGCGAGGAAGCTGGCTCCAGTGGCACTTGGTCTACTGTGTCAGCAGGCAGAGCCAGCTGGTGCTGTATTTCCAAGGAGGGGCAAATGTATCTGGCTTGAAAAGTGATCCAGAGAGTGGAGCTCTAACTCTTTTCTGCTGCTGGAAAGGTGCTGATGGGAGACAGAAAAAGGAAGAAAATCTTCTCCCTTCATCTGATCTGTCAGTTTTCTTTCAGAGTCTCCCATTCACAGAGTCTAACTGAAAGCAAACTGGCAAAAGAGTAAGGGAAAACTTCACTTGTAGAGAGTCCCATCCCCAGCAGAGCAAGGACGGACTTGGAGCTAGAAGAGGGGAAATTATTACTAGCGTACTCTCTCTCCCAGCCTGTCTTGCAGCTGGTAAATAGGCACTAGTCTTGGGTTCAGACAATCAGACACCTCACTTAAAACACTGAATTGAGAGCTACAAAGCAAGAAGCAAGGATAAGAGAGAATTCATTCTGAGGGACAGCAAGAGCAGAGAGCCTCATCCTGATTCTGGGGGGCAGTGGGCATGATGGTGAAGGTGTTGGTATAAGATGGATCCCCAGTATTCAGGACTGTTGATTGTGGCCCTGGCTTCGTCACCTTCCTTGTTCCCATCCATTCCCCTAATCTTATTTCCCTGTCCTGTTGGGTATCCTGAGAGCCACCCAGAATTTGAAAAGTAGATTTCCATTATGTTTAAAATAACCTGGATTGCATTTGTGTCTGGAAACCCTGACTGATACGTGAGGATGGCACCTGTAAGAGTCTAGAAGTCCCAACGAGCATAGGGCTCAGTCACTCAGTTGTGTCCAACTCTTTGTGACTCCATGGACTGAAGCCCGCCAGACTCCTCTGTCTATGGGATTTTATAGGTGAGAATACTCGAGTGGGTTCTCCAGGGGATCTTCCCGACCCAGGAATGTAACTTGAGTCTCTTTCATTGCCTGCAGTGGTGGGCAGATTCTTTACCACTAGCACCACCTGGAAATCTCAATGAGCACAGAGGACTTTTTTTCTCACGACAGGTTGTCGGCCTAACGTGATGTGGTCCAATGAAGTCCTTCCACAAACAGTTCTTGAAGTTTGTCGTTATGCTATGGGCCCCATATTCCTCTGGGTTAGGTTTTTCTTTGGAATGGGTGTCCTTTAGAGCATGAATACCCAGAAGTGAGTAACACTGAGGTCATTTACCCTCTTATTTTCTCACTGCAAGGATATGGATATGATGACAGAACTGGGGCTTGAGTGGAAATCAGAAAAAATATTCTTTTCAGAATAACAGGGTAAATAAAGTAAGACTAGTTCCATGAATAGTAGAAAGAGCTTTGGGCTTAGGGAACTGGTCTCTAATGCTGGCCCCAGCCCTTGAACTATGTGACAGTGAATAAGTTGCCATTCTCTCTGGGCCCTGGTATGACAACACCTGCACCACTGGGAAAAGACAGAGGACCTTCCTCTATGGACTCACCTGGGGCACCGGCTTGGCGCGAATCCTTCCTGCCCCTAGTGAGGTTCAAAGCGATGTCAACAGAGGTAGTGATGGGAGAAGGGTGGGCCTGGGAGAGCAACAGGAGATCCAGTAAAACCCTGTAGACCACACACCTTCCAGGAAGGCCTGGGGCTCCAAACCCTTGTCCTACATCCGCCTCTTGTCAGGCGAGCTGCAGCCCAACGCAGTATCATGTTGGGAGGGGAGAACTGAGCCCCTATAACTGTCATCAAGACCTGGGTTTTGGGTGTGGAGGGCAGTTTTCACTCTCAATCAACAGTATGTATACTTCAGTATCCACAAGTACTGACATTTGAGCTGCTCAGACATCCCAGACACAACTTCAGCAGGCTCTGTCAAGAAGATGAACGAACATTTTTAATGCCTTTTAAATACCTTATCTGGCTCAAAATGGAGGTAAAACCGCCGCCTGGTCGCCCCCAGCCCGACTCCGGCCGTCGCCGTCGCCGCCGGGGGGAGGAGGGTCATGATCCCAAGGAACCAGAGCAGTTGAGAAAGCTGTTTATTGGTGGTCTGAGCTTTGAAACTACAGATGATAGCTTAAGAGAACATTTTGAGAAATGGGGCACGCTTACAGATTGTGTGGTGATGAGAGACCCCCAAACAAAACGTTCCAGGGGCTTTGGCTTTGTGACTTACTCTTGTGTTGAAGAAGTGGATGCAGCAATGTGTGCACGACCACACAAGGTTGATGGGCGTGTAGTGGAGCCAAAGAGAGCTGTTTCTAGAGAGGATTCTGTAAAGCCTGGTGCCCATCTAACAGTGAAGAAAATTTTTGTTGGTGGTATTAAAGAAGATACAGAAGAATATAATTTGAGAGACTACTTTGAAAAGTATGGCAAGATTGAAACCATAGAAGTTATGGAAGACAGGCAGAGTGGGAAAAAGAGAGGATTTGCTTTTGTAACTTTTGATGATCATGATACAGTTGATAAAATTGTTGTTCAGAAATACCACACTATTAATGGGCATAATTGTGAAGTGAAAAAGGCCCTTTCTAAACAAGAGATGCAATCTGCTGGATCACAAAGAGGTCGTGGAGGTGGATCCGGCAACTTTATGGGTCGTGGAGGAAACTTTGGAGGTGGTGGAGGTAACTTTGGCCGTGGTGGAAACTTTGGTGGAAGAGGAGGCTATGGTGGTGGAGGTGGTGGCAGCCGAGGGAGTTATGGAGGAGGTGATGGTGGATACAATGGATTTGGAGGTGATGNAAAAAAAAAAAAATAAAAAAAAAAAAAAAAAAAATAAATAAATAAATAAATACCTTATCTGCATTTGAGTAGGTCAAGGTTTTTTTCTTTTTCTTTTTTAAGCCACATATCTAAGGCAGTGGCTCACCAACACTAATACAAAGAGAACTCAGATATTCTAAACTTTTCTAAACAAAACAAACAAACAGAAAAACAAACTTAAAAGAAAGGTCCCCAGGTAATTCTGATATGTTACAAGTTTGGAACTACTGGCCTAACACCTTCTCTATTTAATATCACAATTCCTGAAAAATATTACTAAGTGCAGAATGTATCATTTCTAATTCATCATATTTATACTTCTGCACTCCTTCTGCTATTAATTTTGACACTAAAGATTCTTCCTTCTTGATCCGCCATTCCAGGTAAGTATTGTCCAGTACAGAACATCTCATACCTGTTTCATCATATTTATCTTTTGCACAACTTTCCCTCCCTTTTTCTCCTTACCACCTACTTTTGGCATATTAATTCATCAAGCAAAATGAAGACAGACTTACTCAGTGTTCTTTCAAGATCACTGAGAAAGTGAAAAGAGGACATCAGAAGAAGGCTAAGCTTCAGTAAACTTTATTTTTCATGGCTGGAGAGGTTCCCTCTCTTCCCCTCAACCCCCTACCCAAAGCTAATCCATTGCCGAACCTGGTCGAGTCAGACTCCTCTCTCCCTCATTCCCTGAGCTATAGCCTTACTGGTATTATTTCAGTTTCTCAAATGTGCAGAGCTCCTTCCTATCCCAAAGCATCCGTGTAAGCTGGTCCACATTATGTGGCTTCCTCTCCCTCTGAGTCTTCCTGCATCCTATACTTCTCTGTGATGGCCCTTATCATGGTATGAAGCTATATATTTAAAAAAATTGAAGTATAGTTGATTTGGGTTTCCTTGGTGGCTTAGATGGTAAAGAATCTGCCTGTAATACAGGAGACCTGGGTTCGAACCCTGGGTCAGGAAGATCCCCTGGAGAAGGGAATGGCTATCCACTTCAGTGTTCTTGCCTGGAGAATTCCATGGATGGAGGAGCCTGGAGGGCTAAACAGTCCATGTGGGCTCAGAGTTGGACACGACTGAGTGACTAACACTTCAGGGCTTCCCAAGTGGCACTAGTGGTAAAGAACCCGTCTGCCAATGCAGGATATAGAAGAGACTCAGCTTCGATTCCTGGGTTGGGAAAATCCCCTGGAAGAGGGCATGTCAACCTACTCCAGTATTCTTGCCTGGAGAACCCCCACGGACAGAGGAGCCTGGCGGGCAATAGGCATAGATTTGCAAAGAGTTGGACACGACTGAAGTGACTTAGCACGCACTTATAGTTGGTTTACAATGTCGTGTTAGTTACAGGTGTACAGCCAAATGATTAATATATACATATATTATTATATATTACATCTATACTATACAGGTATATAATACATATATTCTTTTTAAGAGTCTTTTCCCTTACAGGTTATTACAACATATTGAGTATAGTTACATGTGCTATACAATAGGTCCTTGTTGGTTATCTATTTTATGTATTGTAGTGACTGTATGTTGATCCCAACCTCTTAATTTATCCCTCCCTGCCCTTTCCCTTTTGGTGACCATGCATTTATTTTCTATGTCTGTGGGCCTATTTATGTTTTGCAGATAAATTCATTTGTATTATTTTCTCAGACTCCACACATAAGCAAGATCATGGTGTTTGTCTTTCTCTGTCTGACTTACGTCACTTAGTATGATAATCTCTAGGTCCATCCATGTTGCTGCAAAAAGGCATCATTTCATTCTTTTTTATGGCTGAGTAATGATCCGCTGTTACTTGGCTATTAAATCAGCCACATAACCGTGACTGATTTGCACTGTTGTACATCCCTTTTGAGTCTCCCTCTCCTCCCCACCTGTCCCGCATCCCACCCTTTTAGGTCATCATAGAGCACCAGGCTGGGTTCCCTGTTGTTATATAGCAACTTCTTATTAGCTGTCTGTCTTACACATGGTAGTGTATATATGTCAATGCTACTTTCTCCATTCGTCCCACTCTTTCCTTCCCCTATTGTGTCCACAAGTCTGTTCTCTATATCTGCGTCTCCATTCCTTCCCTGAAAATAGGTTCATCAATACCATTTTTCCAGACCCCGTATTTATGAGTTAATATACTGTATTTGTTTTTCTCTTTCTGACTTACTTCACTCATATAACAGGCTCTAGGTTCATCCACCTCAGTATAACTGACTCGAATTTTATCAGAATTAGGTCAATAGATGTACACCCAATCCTACGTACATCCTAAACTCAGGGTCTGTAAGATCTCTCTGCCACCCCAAACGTGACTCTGTGAGTTCCTCTACTCCATGACTTCATTTCCCAAAGAATAAAGCCCTGAAGCGGATAGGCATTGAGTTCATGGAGAATTGATGGGCTCTCTGGGGTATGAAAATGATGGAGGGGAATGTCCTTTCTGAAGGACAGAGGTCCTTGGCAGGGTAGTGGTAGAACGACACAGTATAAGGGTTTAACAAAGGTTTGGGTCAGAGAAACATAAGTTAAACCCTAGACTGATCAGTTATGAACTAAATAAACTTGTGTAGGTCTCACAACATCTGTGGGTCATGGTTTCCTCATCTGTGAAAAATGCGAAATGATAAAATCTGAGCCACAGAGTTTTTGTGAAGGTCACACAAGACGATTTATGTGAGCATACTCCCTGGTATGTTGGAGATATTTCATGACCAAAAAAGGATTAGTATGAGAACAAACAGTGCAAAATGCAGGCATTGCTTCACGGTGTCAACCGCTCAGATGCAAATTGTATACAGTCACAACTCCCAGGAAAATGGTCAGTCTGGAGCTGTGGGAATTCACTGTGTCTCAGGGAGAATTTCAACCTCCTGAATTTTAGGGTCATGTTCTTCCCTCCACTGAAGACCCTATTCACATGCAAGCTATTTGGCATGGAACGCTAAAAATTATCCCCTGCTAAAATTTTCACTCATCTTTCTGAAGACATAAATTGACTTTCCTGGTGGCACAGTGGATGGAAATCCAGCTGCCCATGCAGGGGACACAAGTCTGGCTTGGTCGTGAAGGATCCCACGTGCCACAGAGTAACCAAGCTTGTGAACACAACTGCTGAGCCTGTGTGCCAGAGAGCCGGTGCTCTGAAACAAGAGATGCCTGCACACCGCAGCTAGAGAGTAGCCCCCACTTTCCACAACTAGAGACAAGCCTGCACAGCAACGAAGACCCAGCACTATCAAAAATTAAAAAAAATAAATTAAATTATAAAGAATAAACTGACTCTGCTTTTAAAGTAATCAAGTTTATTTCCCCCCTCTGGACATTTGTTTTGAACATAAATAAGGTGAAAACAAAAATAAAAACTCCTGGTATGTGTGCGTGTGTGGTAAATGTATTTGTTATACGTACAAGCAAGTCGTCTCCCTAAGTCTTCTTTTCTCTGTTGTGTCCATTATCTTGGGATGATGATAGTATCTGTCCCAAGGTCTTTTCATGAGAACATGAAGAGTCAAGGCAGAAAATTCCTTGATGTACAGCTGGTATTCAGGTGATGTTGGTCTCCTTCCCCCTTTTAGAAAAGATAAAGATAAACTTTACATGGAGGTTTTAGTCTGAATGGGGAGATTTTACTTTTCCAATATTCCACCCTTATTTACTTCTCCTATCCCTACACTGGACTTCCCTGGTGGCTCAGTGGTATAAAAATCTGTCTGTCAGTGCAGGAGATGTAGGTTTGATCCCTGGGTCAGGAAGATCCATACCCTGGGAGAAGGGTATGACAATCCACTCCAGTTTTCTTTCTTGGGAAATCCCATGGGAAGAGGAGCCTGGCAGGCTACAGTCCGTGGGTTCACAAAAGAGTTGGACATGACTTAGTAATTAAACAACAACAAAAGTTCCTACACTACACAAAATCATCAGGTCTCAATTAATAGTAATTTAATTAATTCTTTATACATGTGTATACACACAGACACAGACACACACACACACAAACATGTATACAGGGTTGACATGGGGTTAGTAAAGGTCACTTTTTTTGTAAAGATAGACAGTATCAAATATTTATTAAAAATAGTTGTAGAGATCACTGAAACTATATAGGTAGTCCTGAAATGATAGGAAGTTAATATAAAGATTTATTATGTCATCAGAAGTAATCAATCAATTTTCTTATTTTTACTGAAGTATAGTTGATTAGTAAGACTCCTTTGATGAGTATAAGTACTAGTAACTAGCAAGAACTTCCTGCTAGCTTCTCCAATGAGCTTTTAATAAATCTTGCACTAGCCCTCCAGCTTCTGGAATTATAGTCATCAGTCACCTGAAGAAAGGCCGAGTCACTGAGTCATCGCCAGAGATTGCCCAGGGCAACCGGGCACAGAGTGCCTGGTTTGGAAAGGTCAGTGCCTCCCACACCCACCTGCAAGGCTTGTTCAGTCAGTAAGTACAGACACAGCTCATCAAGCACTGCATTCACTTTGTGGAATCCATTGCATGCTGCCAGTGTAAGGTCCAGGGATTAGGACTCTGCACCTTCACTGTCAGGGGGCCTGGATTAGATCTCTGGTCGGGAAGTGTTTATATCCATAATTTTTATGCAGGTTGTTTAACCTCAGCAATATTTGACATTTGAGGGCAGATACTTCTTATGTTGAGGGTGTCCTACATCTTGTAGAATGTTTAGCAGCATCCTTGGCCTTTACCAGCTGCTCCTCACCCCTAAGTTGTGTCACTCAAAAACATCTCTAGATATTGTCCCTGGGAGGCCAGAATTATCCCCTGCCCAGATGAAAACTGCTTTTCTGGGAAAGCAGAAACTTTTCTGAAAAAGTTTTCTGAAAAACATTTTTCTTTTGTAGCTTGTGGGACCTTACCCGAGATGGAAACTGGGCCCATGGCAGAGAAGGCCTGGAGTCCTAACCATCGGACTAGCGGGGAATTCCTGAAAACTGCT